GCCGCTCCACGGCATGTGGGATCTTCCCGGACCGGGGCACGAACCCGTGTCCCCTGCATCGGCAGGCAGACTCTCCACCACTGCGCCACTAGGGAAGCCCTGGTCTCTTATTTTCTTATCTTGAAAGCTGCGAAATTGGAATCAAAGGAAGCCTACCCAATGACTACCATAAAAATCTCCCTTCCTCCTGATTTTTAAACATTGACTGAAGAGCCTCTTTGTCTGTGGCCTGTCTTTGCAGCCTCTTTTGACATGCCTGGAAGATGGCTGTCTCCCTCCAGTGACTTGGTGACTCCATCAGGGATAATCCACTAGGAGCCCCATGGATGCAAAGCTGACAATGGAGAAGGTGCGTTCGTAGGTAGGAGAGATGAAATGACTGTGTGAAAGTGTAAGAAAGACTGAGAGAAGCAGGTATTGTAAACTAAAATTACCCAATTTGGTCTTGCACAACTCTGACACTTTTTGGTGAATATCTAAGAAGTTTGAGTGTTAGCCTGTCCCCCAAGCCCCACCACCAGGTTGTAGTGAAAGCAGCCCCAAATGATGCCCTACCTGGAGTTTCACTGAACAAACTTCAGTAAATAAGCCCAAACCACTTCATACAGCCTCCTCTGTAGGCCTGACAAAATCCCAGCTCTCTGCCCTTTGGGTGAAAGATTCATTCAACTGAGAAAGAACAATGTTCCACAAACAGGATTCTATTACTATCCTTTTTGTTGGCCTCAGGCTACCAGAAAACCCCCAGTCAGACAAGGCCATTTTTTGGAGATGAAACCATCTGTAATAAGCACCAACTGGCCTGGCTGGATTCTTCAGACAGGTCCAGGCATGCTGGAGGGCTCTCTAGAATATTTTGGTCAGTCCACATGTCTGAATACCTTTAATTTCACCAAAGACAGGCCATTTCTAGCATTCAACCAGCATGTTAACAAGCCACTAGTTGCTCTGATAATAACTAATATCTAATATTTGCTATGCTAATTAGCAAAGTGTCTGGTAATAACTAAAACACTGTGACCTTTCCAATACAGTGCTAGCTAATCACCCCTAGAGTACTAACTCTTGATCAGAACACTAGCTGCCCCTGGGTGTAATTTCAACTAACACTTTCACATGTCACACCAGCCATGCTGGAGTATTTTGAAATAAATTACAGATATAATAGGATGCAAGGGAAAGAATAAGAAGAACCAGGACTTAACGGCAATCAGTGACCACTGCCATATGAGTCTTGCCCATATAAATGCTGCTGCCACTGTCATTTCTCAGATATTTTTTGGAAACATTCATTCATGTAACAAGTATTTCGGAGTACCTACTTCAAATATCTGTCTGAGAGTTCCAAGGAGAATTTAATATACTAAGAGAATGTTAAAAATTCATTGGCTGAGGCTTCCCTGGTGGCGCAGTGGTTGAGAGTCCGCCTGCCGATGCAGGGGACACAGGTTCGTGCCCCGGTCCGGGAAGATCCCACATGCCGCGAAGCGGCTGGGCCCGTGAGCCATGGCCGCTGAGCCTGCTCGTCCAGAGCCTGTGCTCCGCAACGGGAGGGGCCACAACGGTGAGAGGGCCTCGTACTGCAAAAAAAAAAAAAAAATTAGTTGCTTTTTTTCTGTGGAAAAAAAGAAACTCTTAAAAGTTATATGAACATTTTATGATATTTTATTTTCTTTAAGATAATTATGTCATTAGGCTACATTTACCTTAACTGTAATTTAGTGCATCGTAAAAAAAAAAAAAAATCATGAATAAGAATTCTTGATGTTGCTTGTTAGTCCAGAGGTCAAATCAATGCCTTATAAGAGCAACTCTTTCCTGAAAGAGCTATAAGGGAGAGAAAATGACATTTTCCTTTACAGTTCGATATGTTCTTAGTTGCTAAGCAATCCATAGGCAACCTAACAACCTCATAGCTAATATTTGCATTGCACGTTACAGTTCACAAAGCACTTTCACATATGTAGTAAGGGTCTCTCCCTTCAGCTTAAACTCCTTTTATCTAGGGATGCAGGCAAGCCCAGGCTTGTTGGGTGGGCTGGTGGGAAAGGCTGGCAGGGATGTAATTGCAGAGGGGCTCAAGGAGGGCCCAAAGAGGTAATGGATCCTCACTATTGTTGCCACCTAAGCTAATGTGGTCTGGGAAAGAGATCCCAAACATTTCAGCTTGAAAACACATACTGGCTACTTGCTTAATTGTGAAAACAGGGCCGTGTGAAGTAGGTGTGATTTTACTAACCCATAGTCCTCCCTCTTCATAGCACCCACCAAAAGGAAAGTTAGTAAATTTTGCTGAAGAGCCATTGTTAGGAGTGTCTCCATGAAAGACATACACCAGGACCAGTGTCCCCCCAAACCAAGACTTCAGTCCAGCTTGGCTCAGAGGACATATATAAACCCACTGTCTTTATTACTAGTCAGGCTCTGGTCCCAGCCCATCTGGTCTCCTTCCCTTGTGAATGCGCCTGGACCGCGCAGGAGCTCTGAGGACCCAGGCAGCCCCCTTTTCCATGAAGGTCTGGCAGAGCTGCCTGGGCCATTCCAGTGACTACTTCCTGCATTATCTTTCAAAGGAGGGGCATCCCCAGGCCCCAGGGAACCATGCACTTGGCACAAGAGGGAAGAGAGAATTAAAGAAACACATATCAACACTCTCCGCACCAAAATACCCCCAAAGCACCTTCTCTTGTCTCCTCCCCCTTATAGCAACCAGGGTGTGTCCTGGAGGTTTCTGTTTCATCTCTGGAGGTGCTGACAGGGCAAAAGTGGGAGCAGCTCTTGCACCTCCCATAAGATTGGAGTCGTGGACTGGGGTGAGGAGAGACTGTCTTTGGGGTAGGGTTATTTTTGTTTAAAGTGACTCAAAAACTAAGTTCTTTACAAGTATTTATTTTATTTTAAATATGGCAACATGAGACCCAATATATCGCAGTAAAATTCACCTTAGAAATCTTGTCTTATTCTAGAGTATGTGACTCACCTGTCAATTTAATGACTTGTTGCTAAAAGGTGTCCAGGCACTGAACCTTGTGTGGAAGCTCTCCATTTCCAAGCTTTCCCTGGGAGAATTCCCAGCTGACATCTCAGCAAATTATTTTCGTCCAGTCCTAGAAACTGTAGGTTCATTTCATAAACTGTAGGTTTAATTAAGATCACCTAGAACATCCAGTATATTAATGTTGTCCATATAGGAATAATAGAATTACAGCAATTCATTTACAGATATTTGTTTCTATAGATACAATTAGAGCAATTCATATATATATATCCATACAAATATACGCAGAGAGTTCATGAACTCTAAATCATTGCAATTATTCTCTCCTCAACTGCCTGGACCCAAATGTGAATCCAAACCAGAGCTGTTTTTTACTTTGCTGGCAAAATGACTCCGAAATTGGAATGATTCTTTATCAGCCATGAATACTGAATTTTTCTTTCTCTGGAAAGCAAGAATCTGAAGGGCTCAAAGAGGGAGCCCCCACCCCCACCCCAGTGCCTAGCTTTTGAGGACATAAGTCAAAGAGGATATAGAAGAAAAAGTTAGGCTAATATATTAATGATCTATTGCTGCATAGCAAATTCCCCTAAAATTTAACAGCTCAAAACAACAAACTCTTATTATCTCAAAGTTCCTGAGGGTCAGGAATCCAGGCACAATCTAGTAGCGTACAGTATTGTTAGTCTACTAGGGCTGCCATTACAAAACACCACAGACTGGGCAGCCTGAACAACAGAAATTTGTTTTCTTACAGTTCTGGAGGCCGAAAGTCCAAGATCAGCATGTTGTTTATGGTGAGGCCTCTCTTGCTGTCATGCAGGCAGTAGTCTTCCTGCTGTGTTCTCACAAGGCCTTCATTCTGAGCACACACGGGGTGGGGTGCAGGAGGCGCTCTGGTATCTCTTCGTCTTATAAGGATACCAGACCTATTGGATTAAGGCCCCCAACCTTATAACCTCATTTAACTTTTATTACTTCTTTATAGGCTCCACCTCCAAATGTAGTCACATCGGGGGTTGGGGCTTCAACATATGGATCTAGGGGTGGGGGGGGCACAATTCAGTACATACCAGGTACCTCTCCTTCAAAACCTCCCATAGGCTGCAATCAGTGTGTTGGCCAGGACTCCAGCCCCATCTGAAGGATCTGAAGCTCATTCATGTGGCTGTGACCAGGATTCTGTTGCTCGTGGACTGTTGGGTGGAGGAATCCTTTGCTTTCCTTGCCACATGGGCTTCTCCATAGGGCAGTTCACATGGCAGCTGGCTTCCATCAGAGGAAGCAAATGGAAAAGCAAGAGAGGGCACACAAGAGGGAAGCCACAGTCTCTTTGTAACCTAACCTCAGAATTGGTATCCCATCACTTTTGCTCTGTTCTATTAGGTAAAAGCAAGTCACTACGTCTGGCCCATACTCAAGGGGAGAGGATTACACAAGAGCGCAGACAGTAATACAGTCTACCACAGTTCACCCTTTGGATCAGTTCCCTTCCTTTCCCACATGCAGAACACACTCATCCACGCCTTAAAGCAGACAACCCCAAAGTTCCATCTCGTCAATATTTTGAGCTTAGATCCCAGGAGATAGAAATGATTCATAACAGCCTCTACAGACCCAGATATACCTACTCTTGATCTAGAGAACTCTGAACTAAAAAGATAAGCTATCTGGTACTAGCCCCTACACACAATATATATAATGGTAGAGCAGGAAAAGGATAACTGCAATAAATATTCCCATTTGGAAAGGAGAAGAATGATACATAAAAGAGTTAATCCACAGCAATTCTGAGATCCTGCTGTAGAAGGCTGGAACCCAGTTATCATTTTTAGTCTCAAACAATCACATTCTCTTTTATACCGTGTAGGTAACTCCTTTGACAACACGGCTTTCTCAACATCTATCTCAAGTTATTTGATTCCAGGCAGTGCTATGTGCCACAATTGTTTAGAGACTTGTTTCTCCCTCTCTCTCTCTCTCTCTCTCTCTCTCTCTCTCTCTCTCTCTCTCTCTCTCTCTCTCATTCTCCCTCCCTCCCTCTCCCTCTCTCTCTCTCTATTTAATTGCAAGTAGTTTGAGCCTATCAGACTTTCCTTAGAAAGAGCCAAACTCTAAGTCTCCCCTCATTGAGATATTTTCCCAGCGTGAAAGTATTTGCTGGGTACCACCTTATTCCATTCAGAGATCCTAACAATGGTGTGACAACCATACTCTTCTTGACTTGGTCTTTGCCGCTAGGCAGAGTTTTAAGCAGACTTTTTTGCTCAAAGGACTTCTCTGTTGCTTCTTAACTAGTTGAACATGTGAATCAGTTGCACCTTCCAAGCTTGCAAAACCCTGAGTTTTTTGGTTGTCTCTGATTTCCTTTTCATTCCTGC